GCTTCAACACACCTTACAAAGAGTATTCAATTAAGTATAGTTTGCTTCAGTTTAGCAACATAAACTTGAAAGCACAAGATGTTGCATTATTGGGTCAGCATCAACAGCAAGTGACATAAACCTTGTTACAAAGGATGAAATAATCATAAACAATGGTATAAAAAGTTAGTGTAAATATGTCGTTACTATAGTACCATGTATCCTTGTCTCAAGGGAAAATGCCCAACCGGAACCAAGATGTACTTAAAAACCAACTCTATTTGACTAGATTTCCTTGTAACAAACTAGAAAATCAACATGTAAACCGATCAATGCTCTATCTATAATCCTACTGCCCAGACTATATAAGGAGGGGTAACTAGCATGTGGCAGTGACATGCCACTGGTATCTATCTTTATTAGCGGTTTAAAGGGATCCACATCATTATATTGATCGAATCCTAGGTTTACGACCTGGCAGTGAATCATAGTCACTGTCGTCGGCTTGATGTATCTGCCTGGCCAGACATATCACTCTGAGGCTTCCAATTTTAAACTCCTGGCGCTAGGATGCATTTCTCTAGCAGGCAGTGCCTAGGAGGTAAGAATGGCCAACATAGGGATCGATGAGCTCTACCAATGGCACGTGGTGTACTTCTGTTTATTGTTTAATAGATCTGTAGATGCGACCTACTCCATCTATTCCAAATTATAAGTCATTCCAAGGATCTTGGAGGGCCAAAGCATCTCATGTTTGACCAAAATTATAGAGAAAATTACAAAGTTTTATGACCTTAAATAGGTATATTATAAAAATATAATTAACGAAGAATCTAATGATATTTAGTTGGCACCATAAATGCTATTATCTTATCATATAAATTTGGTCAAACTTGAGATGGTTTGACTCTCCAAGATTCTTAGAATGACTTATAATTTGGGACGGAGGGAGTACTTGATATTCCAAGGTGTGGTTGCCTGCTGCCTCCTGTAAATCCTTTACTATTTTTAGAAATGAAGGGCTGTATGCAGTTTTGTGGATGCACGCTTGTATAGATCATTTCTTTTACCGTTGCTAGAAATAGACTACTTAGTGAAATTATCATCTAAAGACTAAAGCGTGGCAAAGTTAGGAAAACTGTGATTGCCAACAAAATTGAAACGGCTTGGTTGCTTTTTTTTTTTTTTTTTTTTTTTTTCTGTTGTTGAAGATTTGTCTATTTTTCTAACAAATCCTGTGAGGTTTAATTTAGCATGTGAAAAAAAAATCCCATTAGTAAAGTTTGGTAGTGTTTGTTATTTCTCGAGTCCTTCGGTTTCAAGAATGGAGATGACTCATGCTTGTTGAGTACCGCACGATGTTGAACCAATATAATTGGTAGGTGAAGACTTTTGACTTTTGAGATGCACATTGGCATGCTTCGTGAATGTGCTGCACTTCTGCTTGTCAGTTCTACACAACACGAAATGACTCCGTGGTCGTCATGGATGCTTGTGATTGTGGCTTGTTAATCTATCCTACACATTTACATTAATTACAACCAATAATTCAGACAAAAACCAATATCAGATACTCTAGACCAACTGATTTGGTTGTCTCAGCTTGCCTTCTCTGTTAGTCTAGCACTAGCAAGCATATCAGTGTGTATTGCAACGGATATACAACTTATTGTGTGGCCACCTAGACGACTTCAGTTCGTGCCATAGGACATGTCATCGCCGTTGGTGAGGTGCAGCTCCGCCTCTTGACGATGTTGGAGAGACCGAGCACGGGAAGATATCCACTGATAATGGTGGCCTCTATGGCTCTATAGCGTGGCTAAGAAGGTGATGGTGACGTGGCTTCTGGCCATTCTGGGTACCAAATTATTAGGTTCTCAAGTCACGATGCCACAGGCTCCATCAAATGAAGCACTCGGAAACAAAATTTCTGAGTCATGGAATTAAATGTCTATGAAACTATAAAATGAAACTCTAAGATTGGGGGTTTCGTTCATGTTTCATTTCATTTTATATGACATGACAGTCTTTAAAACGACGCCATGAAACTCTCCATTGAGAATGACCTTACTTGATCGCCACAGTGTCTAGATCTAAGCGTTAATATAAAGGGTCCATTTGGATAGGAGAATCGTTTTGGATTCCTACGTGGAACCCAAGAATTTGAGCCAAATGACCAAATAAATGCAGAAACGTTTCAGTCTCCTTTGCTTAGGGCGTCCTCAACAAGCAAAAGCAAATCGCTAGCTGACAGAAATAAAAAAAAAAGGAAAAAAAAGTGAGCTCCACATCAAGGCAAGAGTGGGTCTCATGTAGCTGAGAGAGTAGATTTATAGGGACATGTGCGAGCTAGGCGAGGATCTCGTCGCTAGCTATTCAGTTTTGGACGCTCTCTTTCCTCCACGTTATCAAATAACTAGCAAAAAGTTTCTTGTTGGGGACGCCCTTCGGAATCGGCTACAAGCACGTTTGCAGTGATTCTATAGTACTATTTCTTTTGTCTCCCTTCTTTTCTAACAATTGTATTTATTTGTTTATAATTCTTTGTTTAGGGTAACAAATTAAATTCAGTTGAATTTATGTTGGCCTTGGCCCATAAAAATTTAAGATTTTTGTAAAGCACAATTTTATTTATGCTATTTTGTAAAAAAAAAAATATTCTTATGAACTAGAATCTAGTCTACCATCCAAACGATCTCACGAACTGATTCTGATTCATCATCTGTAATGCTTCTTGAGAAAATCTGAAACTGAAATGTTTCTACAAGAATCTAGATTCTTATAAACACACCCTAAGTCAGACTAGTCGATCGAGTACTAAATTTAAGATGATCTGCACCATGTGAATGCCAAGGACAGACCAGGCGGAGCATTAGGACTCTCCATGAATGTATGCATGGTAATGTAGTACTACTAGTCAATGGAATTAATTACATCTACCTTGCCCCACAGGTTTTACCATGCTGGCATCTGAATACACAAGATTTCTGATCCATATAAGTGAACAATGTTAATGCATTTCGGTCTATAGTATTCACTGACACCCTCCTCATTTTTGTTTCAGTTTTTAGTTCCCAAACTTTATGTTATATTTGCAAAAAGCATTCCTAGTACCTTTGTCACTATTCGCTCAAGTTCCACAGTTTTTTAACGGAACTCTACAGTTGTGCCAAACGGAGCTAGAGTTGAGTATTATTTTTATTTTTATTTTATTTTTGAAACAGAGCTAGTTGAGGTTTTTGGGCTGCAATTCGTCGACCAACTGAAAAGACAAAATTGCACCATACAATTTGTTGACTTGGGCACGTAAATTGAGCAATGGATTGCCACCCTACCTGCCACGTAACATGGACATGTGGCATGAATCCACGGTGGGTGTCCATAAGCTCATGGTGGGGATAGTCCCCACCTAATTTTTTCCCTACCTACCACTTACTTGGGGAGGCCCAGACCACGTGTCTCTCTCTCTCACATATTTAATGGCTGGGTCGGTATTATTTGAAGGAGACATGCTAGTCGCGATCACCCCTGTGCGCGCAATGTGATTTTCATGCTACGAGATGGTAGGCTGGTGCACGCAACATATGGATTATACTGATTCGGGCACGTGGTGCCGTATAAGGTGGATCTATTTGTATTCATATGCTCGGTTACAGGGATTACTGCTCCTAGCTATGCGTTAGAACGTAGAAGTTGGGATCCCGATACCCTACTTCCCCATATATAGCCAGAGGGAGTAGGTTACAATAGCTCTGATCGGCTAATATATATTGGCTTTTTAGTTTATCACATGGAATGCGTAATAAAAATGATTCTCGGAATGTCCTGATCTCCAAGCTCATGGATTCGCCTGTCCTTAAGGGCTTCATTCGTTGTCGTCTTCAGCCCAACAGATAGGCATGCATCAGGCTATACGGACGGTGGGTAATGGTACCCCAGGCCCATACATCTGACACCACCAAGTTTTTTCTCTACCTACTACGTACCCAGGGTCAAGATGGCAATGGGTACGTACCCGATGGGTACTGGCCACCCGTACCCGCACCCGCCAGATCAAAATCTTACTCGTCGGGTTACCCGTACCCGCAGGCAGGTAGAAAATTCATTCCATACCCGCACCAGATGGGTAATTCTTACCCGACAATATACCCGAGTTCACACACCAAAATATAATAGCTTCCAGCAAAACAAATCAACAATAGAGCAGCAAAACAGAAATATGGGCTGGTGGAGTGGAGTGAGGACGAGGATTAGGGTTTGAGGGAGTTCTGGAATATATATACTCATATGCTTATATGGGCCAAATATGGGTTATATGCTTATATGGGCTAAAATTGCAGAGGTTGGATATTATTTATGCGGGTTTTTTTACCCACGGGTATGCGGGTATGGGTAGTATACACCCACACCCGTACCCGCATACCCGATGGGTACAAGAATTCGTCCAATAACGTACCCGTGGGTGCAAAATGTCTTCCATACCCGCCTCCTTATCGGGTAAAACCCATCGGGTACTCGGGTTTCGGATACCCGTTGCCATCTTGAACCCAGGGCGGCCCATACCACCTGTGCGAACGCGCAACGTGATTTTCATGCGACCAGATGAGACCGGCCTGCCACGGCGACACGATGGGACGCGAAATAAACATTGGACGGCGACGACGAAGACGACACCGCGGCGTGCAGGCTATTTTACCTACCCCTCCTAGCTATGCGTTAGAATGGAAGGCTAGCTGTACCGTTAAACGCCCATCTCGCCACGCCGCTTCCCATGCCCGGTCGTCGTCGCCCGGCCTCTCGCTCCTCCACCAATACGTCCAACCCTGCTGCCTATATAAACCACGCCCAGTCGCCCACCCCATGACACCACACCACACCACACACACCTCTTCCAGCTTCCAAGCGATCGAGCTAGTCCTCGTCCTCGCCATTGGAGCTAGCTGCTTCCTCATTCTTGCTCACAAGACACAACACAGAGACACACCACGATCATCACTACTCAATCCGATCCATTGACCGACATGGGCAGCCTTGACACCACCCCTGCCGCCGCCGCCGCCGCCGCCGACATCAACCGCAGCGGCGCCTTCCAGCCGCTCAACGCCGACGACGTGCGCTCCTACCTGCACAAGTCGGTCGACTTCATCTACGACTACTACAAGTCCGTGGACTCCCTGCCGGTGCTGCCAGGCGTGGAGCCAGGCTACCTACGGCGCCTGCTGCAGTCCGTGCCGCCGACCTCCTCCGCGCCCTTCGACATTGCCCTAAAGGAGGTCCGCGACGCCGTCGTCCCGGGGATGACCCACTGGGCCAGCCCCAACTTCTTCGCCTTCTTCCCGTCCACCAACAGCGCCGCCGCTATCGCGGGCGAGCTCGTCGCCTCCGCCATGAACACCGTCGGCTTCACCTGGCAGGCCAGCCCCGCTGCCACCGAGATGGAGGTCCTCGCGCTCGACTGGCTCGCGCAGCTCCTCCGCCTGCCGTCCACCTTCATGAACCGCACCGCGGAAGCTGGGCGCGGGTCCGGTGGTGGCGTCATCCTCGGCACCACCAGTGAGGCCATGCTCGTCACGCTCGTCTCCGCTCGTGACGCCGCCCTGCGCCGGGCTGGCTCCGTTGGCGTCGCTGGGATCACCAGGCTCGTCGTCTACGCCGCTGACCAGACGCACTCCACCTTCTTCAAGGCGTGCCGTCTCGCCGGATTCGACCCGGCCAACATCCGCTCCATCCCCACCGGCCCGGAGACGGACTACGCCCTCGACCCGGCGAAGCTGCTCGAGATCATGCAGGCTGACGTCGACGCCAGCCTCGTGCCCACCTACATCTGCGCCACCGTCGGCACCACGTCGTCCAACGCCGTGGATCCTGTCGGAGCCATCGCCGATGTCGCCGCCATGTTTAATGCGTGGGTGCACATCGACGCCGCCTACGCCGGAAGCGCGTGCATCTGCCCGGAGTTCCGGCACCACCTGAACGGCGTCGAGCGGGTGGACTCCATCAGCATGAGCCCGCACAAGTGGCTCATGACGTGCCTTGACTGCACGTGCCTGTGGGTGCGCGACACGCACCGGCTCACCGACTCCCTGGAGACCAACCCGGAGTACCTCAAGAACGACGCCAGCGAGTCCGGCAACGTCACTGATCTCAAGGACATGCAGGTCGGTGTCGGCCGTCGCTTCCGGGGACTCAAGCTCTGGATGGTCATGCGCACCTACGGCTCCGCCAAGCTCCAGGAGCACATCCGGAGTGACGTCGCCATGGCCAAGATGTTCGAGGACGCCGTGCGAGCCGACGACCGGTTCGAGGTCGTGGTGCCGAGGAACTTCGCTCTCGTGTGTTTCAGGATCAGGCCGCAAGGCACCATGACTGAGGAGGACGCCGAGGAGGTCAACCGTGAGCTCATGGAGCGGCTGAACAGGACCGGGAAGGCGTACCTCGCTCACACGGCGGTCGGCGACAGGTTCGTGCTGCGGTTCGCGGTGGGGTCGTCGCTGCAGGAGGAGAGGCACGTGCGAAGCGCGTGGGAGCTCATCAAGAAGACGACCACCGAGATCATGGACGAAGAGATGTAGAGAATATTACAATTGATTATTACTGTTGGATTAATAAATATTGTTATGCCAATCAAAAGGTAGCGCCCAATAATGCCTTTCGTTATGCATGTATATGCAAGAAATATATGTATGTTGGACGAGCTAGTATATATAACTGCCATGTATTTTATATATGGGCTATATAATATATGAAGCTGGCTTTTAATTTCCTTGTCCTGCGTCTAGGATGATACCATGAATAAGTGACCACTTTCTTGAAGAACACACATGGTGACTTGAATTTTTCTACCCAATCCAAGGATTCCATGTGGTCTTCTTTCCTAACTCTGGAGGAAACTTTGGCAAGGTTATGGTTAGGGTTCAGGATTAAGAGCCTGACCTGAGTCGATTAAAGGGATCACCAAGGAAGAAGCAGGCTAGCCCAGCGCGGTGGTGGAGCTGCCAACCGAGCAGTGGAAGGGAGGTGGTTGGGCGAGACGAGCATGGGGGCTTCATGGTGATAGCCCGTGCAGCCTCCTTTGGTTAGAGTGGCAGTGGTTGTAGGTGGGTGTGGCAGAACCACCCAAATTATATGGCCCATATGCATATGTCATTGTCCTTAAGACCTCTGACTGCTGCACATGAGAGCTAGATAACTCGGATAGTCTGTCGGGTGTCCTTGGGGAACCCCGAATCATCCATATTTTACAACTCATATAGGATCAACATTGGAGTTGCCACAACATTACAACATATGGTACAAAAACAATATACATCGGAGCGTGGAAGACTTATAACATTAATTTACAAAACATGTTTAAGTAAAACTTAACTTTAGATCCAAAAGGTGAATAGAACAGCGAAAGCAAATTAGAAGAAGCACCTAAGGTAGAAGTGACATCCAGATCATGTCGAGCCCACCGACATGACCTTGATTAGCAGCACAAGTCAAAACCTTCAACAGGGTTAACAAACCCTGAGTACTTGAGGTTACTCAACAAGACTTACCCGAGTAAAAGAAAAGACTCCAAGGGCATGCAGGTTTAAGGGAAAGGCTAAAGTAAGAGTAACTTGTGCAGAAAAGCTTACTATAAGTGGATCCTTACTTTTAATATTTTAGCTGTGTATTAAGTCATTATCGGTATCTAGTTTGCACATGATCTAAATCATTCACTTTATTAAGCATCGCATCCCATTTTTATAAGTACAATCTTTCCATTGATTAGCTACGATGTATGGTCAGAGGGTCGAGTCTCCATAACCGAGGAGCAACCATGATTCGACCCGATTAAAACCCAGCTGGGGATTCCCAACTACACGACATATGTAGGTCTCGGACCTACATATATCAATCTTCACTCGAATCCTCCAAAACATGAACCAATCTGCACTACCCGAGAGCACAGTATTCCACCGCCCTGCTCCGTCCCGAACGATATTCTTGCAGGGTGGGCACACGCTACTCCCGCCATCTCCCATGCCTAGTGTGCGGTTGTCTTTTCACAAAACGGAATAGCCGAGGTATCAGGCTTGCCAGAGTATGGGGTCGGTACTGCAAAGTCTCAACCACATGGTGGCCTACAACAAACGGTCCTTAATCGACATAGACGGGACAAGCACGACTAGGCAACCCTGTCGGCAACCACTAGAGACATATCCCATGTCCCGTACGGTCTCCATATTCCTCAATTCATATTAGGTTTTCAAGGCATCTCAATAGTATAGAACCATTGCGAACGATGACCTCATCATTCAACTCTAATTAGCTAGGCATGGCTAAGCATGACTAATGTATCATCTTTACTGCAAGGTTGACAAGGATAAGGATTGAAATATCAAGACAGGCATGCAGCAGTTGGTAATCAACCAAACCCTAATCACTTAAAGCACAAAGCATAGGACTTAAAGTGTAATAACATTTGTAAAACACAAGGAAGGGGTTTAAATGCTCTGGGGCTTGCCTGTGTTGCAAAGAAGGTTAGATTCCGTAGAAGGATCATAGAAGTCGAACTTGACATCAACATCACTGGAGGAAGAACCTTCTCCAAGCTTGCTCAGCGAAAACCTTCTCTCTCTCTCGTTTACTACACGTAAATAAAGGATGCTTGCTTAACATGATGGAATGCATGGTATATGATGCATGATGAGAGACACACAAGTACCTATATGAGCTCAAACATAGTTAACAAACTTGAGTACTACTTTCCTTCACTAAGAGCTAGGGTTAATTATTCTAAAAAGTATTTTAATTATTAACCACAAGTTGATTACAAGTTCATTAAGAAAGGATTTAAACTATCATGGAACAGCAAGTATTTAATATTCCACATATCACATTCATCTCATAGAACTCACAAAAAACTAAACAAACAATTATTTAAGTCATTTTAATATTTATAAAGCATATAAAAGGCATAAAACATACTTAAACTAATTAATGAAGTTAATTAATTCAAAACAGTGCCAAACTTTTTGTGAAGACATGTATTAGCATGTTAAACTTACACAAAAAGTTTCATCATCAAAGGATTAATATTTTTATCTACAAAAATCATACAACAAGCATTTTTTCTATTAAAAGAGGTAATTTTTAAGCATACCAAAACTACTGATTTTCACCATTTCATATTTTTCCTAGGTACAACATAGCGTAACACGGAGACGCGATGGAGAAGGCTGCCGGCGTCGAGAGCGGACGTGGCGGCGAGAACACGGTGGCGAGGTGGTGTTTCGGTGGCTCCAACGCACTTCTGACAAAACAAGGAGGCCTATGAGCATCATGGCGACATGAAGAAGCGAAAGCATCAAACGGGAGAGCGATAGGTGCGCTGGAGAAGCCTGGCCACGATGAGGTGGTGTGCGGCGGCGCTGACGAGTGTCCACGGCGGGAAAGCAGCAACGTGAGCGACTCCGACGATGAGAGGCGGCGCAAAGCATGCTCGACAAGCGTGCAAGGGCGAGGCGAAATCAAGGGCGCGAGCAATTGGACGATGGACACACGGTGGAGGCGAATTCGGCCGGTGAACTGGAGCTCGGCGGCGGTGGAAAACAGAGGAAGGAGATAAAGAAGACGGCGTCGGCGGCTCCGCGTTATAAGGGCGTGGGTGAGGTTTCTGGGCGTCTAGCTCCTGCTTCTGACATGGCGGGGGGAGCAGCTGCGTGCCCCGACGTGAGAAGGCACGAAAACGGTCGGCGAGGCGGCCACCGACGTCTACCAAGCAAGCAGCTTGCCGGGGTTCCTGTAGCAGCCTGACAGCTCTTCTTCCCCCCTATTTTTCTCTTGATTTTGTGCAAAAACTTGATCATCTCCAAAAATGAAAGTTGTTCATCTTCATGAGATCTCCAACTTTGCTTTAATGACCAACATCAAAAGGTAGAGAGAGAGAGATCAAGAGGATAGAACACAAGCACATTCAAACTGAAAATTGGAATTCAGTTTGGGTTTTGTAAAACTGATTTTTGATTAGTAACTTTAACTAATTAATTAGTGTTTAACCAGTGATCAAACAAATCAACCAATTGCTCATTATCAAAGTTCAAACACTACAAGAAACAATGAAACAAAAGTTGTACAAATTTTATTCATGAAAATTGATTTAATAATTCACCAAATTTGGAACTTTAACACTGTTTTCAGGGACAACCACAAATGGTTAAGTTTGGAAAACTTGTTTAGAATTCAAACTTTGAGCTCAAATTTAAACATATTTGACTTGAAAACATACCCCAACTTTAATTTCATTTTAAAGCACATACTTTCTACTACAAAATTTATATTGGAAAAAATTTAATTGTTTAATGAAATTTCTAACCATAAAATCACAAAGAACCTTAATTAATGTTTTTCATAACATTTCATGCAAGCACATCTCAACACATATGCAACCTATGAATGCTATAATTAAAATATGCAATGCATTTATGCCTTAATACTTAATGATTATGCATGATGATGAATATGATCAAGGTTTTAATTGCTTTTTAACATCTAGGATGTTATAGTGGGGCACCACCTGAGCTGGACAGAAGGTGGTGGCGGTGAGGGAGTAGGGTTGGACATGCATAAGACGGTGGGGTTAAGGCACATCCGATGGATTTTAGAACCAAGCCGTAGTCGACGGAGGTGGGGGGAGCCACCAAAGCCGTGTGAGGAGCTAGAGGCAGAGGCAATTAGGGGCTAGCGGCACATTCATTCGAGCTTAGGGTCAGCACTACTACTGAAATAATTATTGGAGGCAATCATTTTTTTATTAACAAGGACGGACACAGCGTCCGCCTCCATTAAAACGGCTCGTTTAATCAAGCTTTCCGAAGGCGGGCGTCGTTAATCCCATTAACAGAGGCGGACGTCTTAATATGTCAGCCTCCATTAATGCCATTTACGTAGATGGACATCTTAAGATGCCCGTCTCTAAAAATTGATTTACAGAGGCGGGCGTCCTAAGGCGAGTTAGGATGCCCACCTCCATAAATGATTTTTTAAGGTGGGCATTTTCATGCAGCATCCCTAATATTAACGGAGGCAGTCGCTAGGTGTGCCTGCCTCTATTAATGTTTGGGCTATCTCGCAAAAACATTTTTATAGTAGTGCAGATAGATACAGGCCAAGAAAGAAGGGAAGATATAGAAAATAGATGATTTGTAATTTCCATATATGGGCTATTATAATAAATGAAGTATTACCTAAGACAACTCCCCGCCACAAATAGATGGCTTATGTTGGTATTTCTTAACGCAAACAGAAATAATCCATAAGCACACGGAATTACTATCGTAGCACTTCACCCGGAAGTATTCAGGGCATCGTATTTTCCACAGGGAATGGAGGTATTCTTCTAGCTAGTTCGTCCAAGGACAACACAAGGGTAGAGAAGGTAGAGGTTGAGATGGATTTCTTTGGTTATATGGTCTATGGATAGATAAACTTCACTTCTACTTGCTCACTTCGGGCACTGGCTTAAGCCTGGTCTGCCAAGCGATATCGGCCTGTAGCTCTACGTCGTGCCCCGACGTTGGGGATTATAATGTATGAACAAGGC